ATACTGAAAAGATTGGACCAATACACGGCCAGACTCGGCAGCTCACTGATAACGACAGAGAAATGAGCAATAATTTGAATAAATATTTTTCAACAGTTTTCACCACCGAAAATTTAAACATGATACCCGAGGCACTGACTCTATTCAGAGATAGTGAAGAAAACAAATTAAGTGAGATAGTAGTGACTAGTAACGATGTTAGTAAGCAAATAGACAAACTAAAGCCTAATAAGTCACCTGGTCCCGATGAGATATTTGCCAGAGTATTCAAGGAATGTAAGGAAGAGCTTAGTATGCCCTTAGCAAAGTTGTTTAACATGTCCTTAAAAACAGGTGTGGTACCAGAATCCTGGAGGATAGCAAATGTAATACCGATTTTCAAGAAGGGGGATAGATCCCTATCCTCTAACTACTGCCCAATCAGTCTAACATCAATAGTAGGCAGATTACTGGAAGCAATCATTTCAAACTCTATTCGAAATCACCTGGAGAAGCACCGATTGATCAATGATTCCCAGCATGGCTTTACAAGCGGACGTTCTTGCCTAACTAATCTATTAACATTCTTTTCATCAGTTTTCGAATCGGTGGACGGGGGGCACAATTATGATGTGGTATATCTCGACTTTAGCAAAGCCTTCGACAGAGTCCCCCACGAAAGACTAATTAGAAAGGTAGAAGCTCATGGCATCAAAGGTGACATCCTTAAATGGATTAGGGCGTGGTTACAGGACAGGAAACAGCGAGTGAGCATTAACGGCACTAAGTCCCATTGGAGCAACGTCACAAGTGGAGTTCTCCAAGGCTCAGTACTTGGACCATTATTATTTATTATATTCATAAACGACATAGATATCGGCATAGACAGCAACATAAGTAAATTTGCTGATGACACTAAAATAGGACGTGTTATCAAATCTGACGAGGACTCGGCAAAACTACAGGAAGATCTAAACAAATTTTTCGAATGGTCTGAAAAATGGCAGATGAAATTCAACGTCGACAAATGTAAAGTACTCAGTATAGGAGATGTAAACAGGGAAACCAGGTACCAGATGAACAACGATGCCATAGAGAAATCCGACTGCGAGAGAGATTTAGGAGTAATGATAAGTAGGAACCTTAAGCCAAGTAAACAATGTGTTTTTGCTCGTAACAAGGCTAATAAAGTACTTGGGTTCATACAAAGGAGTGTTAGTTACAAGACTAGCGAGGTCATCCTAAAACTGTATCTTGCTCTTGTGAGACCACACCTGGATTACGCAGTTCAGTTCTGGTCACCGTATTACAGAATGGATATAGAATCCTTGGAAAGAATTCAGAGGAGAATGACAAGACCAATCCCAGGCATTAGGAACCTTGATATAGAGACAGGTTAAAGCATCTTGGTACTCCTTGAGAGACGAGAGCGGGGCGACCTGATAGAGGTGTATAAGTGGAAGGCAGGGCTAAACAAAGGGACATTACAAAGGTACTCAAATTATCCAACCAGGCGAACTCAGAAAATGGTTTTAAATTAGACAAATTTAGATTTAGGCGTGAAATAGGTAAACACTGGTTTGGAAACAGAGTAGTGGATGAATGGAACAAGTTACCAAATATCATCATTAACTCGAATACGCTGAATTGCTTCAAACATAGGTTGGATGCTCATATGAGAAATAGGGGTTGGGTGTAAACGGGACTGCCCAGTATGGGCCAATAGGCCCGCTGCAGTTTCCTCCATTCTTATGTTCTTAAGTTATGTAATTTTCCTATGCAATCACAGCAATTTATGTAATTTCCTTATTTCATGGAGTTACTGTCAGTGGTACGCCGCCAGTCAATAGTTCTAGTATCTGTTTTTAATACTATAAAATAAACTGTATTCTAGAAGACAATGTGTCCACAATGTCCTGTTAAACCCTTTTATAAAACAGGGTAGAATAGGACATGTGGACACCCTGTGCACACCAAAACTGAACCGCATAATCCAATTAAGTGGTCTCAACATCGTTGATCCTTTCACTAACCTTGCTAGGTATTATGAACCCTAGTACTTTGTTAGCCTTATTTCAAATAAAAAAGCATTGCTTTCTAGGTTTAAGTATCTAATTATAATAACCTGAGACTATATACGGAAGATAGGAAAGTGGCTGCCCAAAGCATAGCATAAAATATGTTGTGGAACTGTGGCACCATCTATTGAACTGCCAGCACAGTTGGACGACCTTTACAGACGTCAGATATTTCCAGTTGCGTATTGTTGCTAGTTACTACAAAATGTCGATTGTTATCTTCTTCAGCCACAGTTTTAGATTAATAAAACACTGTAGGTGTGTTGAATCTCTTAAACTTTATATAAACTCTGGTTTCCAACAAAATTTCACTATTTGTGTCACGTCGAGGGAATCTCTATATCTCCCTATCTTTGATAATGATACCGAAATCTATCTCACAGTCGGTTATTTTAGGTTAGGTTTGATTAGTTTCTTTAGATGATTTGGTGATTTTTTTTTTAAGAAATATCACAGTAATTGTTAAGGCTTCTTGAAGTTGAATTGTAAAACTGAGAATTGAAGAGACTGACGTAAGTGCCAAGTTTGAAGTTTCAGAATATGTTAGACATATTCAGGGAACAACATAAGCGCAAACTGTACTGGCGTGGAGAGCGTACTCATCCAGACTTAGGAAGGAAAATAAAAATTTGTATGCACAAATTAAAAATGATCCATTGTACATCAGCAATAATCGTGCACAGACACAAAGGCAAGGACCTCACAGGAAGATGGTAATTACATGCATGAAAAGATTCTGCTTACAGCAAACACCAGGTCGACAGTGTCAATTCTCCAACATATGACGTGACGAGCGACTGTCAATACTCAACACATCTCTAACATTATTAACAAAAAATCAACCTGACACAAAACAATATTTACATACAGGGTGTGGTGGCCCAGTGGATACAACCTTTGCCCCCTGTCCTAAGGGTTGTTTGTCCTCACCCAACGGCACCTTCAGTCACCCAGCTTTAAAATGGTACCTGGTTTTAAAAATTGGGAAATGGAGGGTGTGAGCGCAGTGCCAGCCATGTTGCCTCCTTTTGTACTGCAGGCCAGTATTCACTGTGTTGTATCCGTATTGCCTCTAACACTAACATTCGACACAGCGACACTCGACAGGAAGTACGCAGGCTAGACTGCTCCCCAGGTAGGTCACCTCCTCCAGGTACAGTAACACGTCAGACATCCGTACCCTTCAAGGTCACTTAACGATTCTGGCGGACTGTCCCAGTGTAATGCGCAGTTGAATGTGGAGTTCCCCAAATTCCCCCTTTTGGTGGTCTCTGAATATTAACTTTTTAAATCACTACAAGCAGGTGGTGTGACGATTTAATTCTCTATTCCGTAGTTTTAGTTTAACAAATTTATTGACAAAGCTTGGAGTACAGTTTGCCTATTCTGAGTAATTCAGTCAGGTCTTAACACGAGGGTGTTATCACTTCTCACTGCCACGCAGGACAGAGGTTCATACAAAAAGGAATAGATCATATTCATTAACAGTATATATAGGTCAGAGTCATGTGGATAACATAACACACAATTTTTACAGATTTTATTACAGTAAGATGGTAACTTGGGTGCTTGAAAAACGTTCACACACACACCAAACACATTAATTCATTAAATAACAGAACCCTCTAGGGAACAAAATCATCGCCGAGACAGTACCTTCATTACAGTATAAACGTCCCCAAAACTAAACATCTTGCGGCCGGCAGCTACGTCATAGCATCTCGGAAAACTCGTACCACTTGTAGAATCTTGATCGTCGTCCGTCACCAATATTATTTTTATCTCCTAATCAATAGGGATTATCCTTCCGTCCCTGAAAATCCATACATGTGAGTTTTTTCGATTTATTCTTTAGTTTACGTAAACAGTGGTGAATATTACCTGAAGCGGTAGAAAAAACGTGTGAATGTCTGAATCAGTAAAGCTCTGTAAGCGTGTGATTGTCTGAATCAGTAGCTATAAGGGTGTGAATGTTTGAATCATTAGCTATAATCGTGTGAATGTCTGAATCAGTAGCTATAAGCGTGTTAATTTCCGAATCATTAGCTATAATCGTGTGAATGTCCGAATCAGTAGCAATAACGGTGTGACTCTGAATCAGTAGCTGTAAGCGTGTGAATATCTGAATCCGTATCTGTAAGCCTGTGAATGTCTGAAACCGTAGCTGTAAGCGTGTGAATGTCTGAATCCGTAGCTGTAAGCGTGTGAATGTCGAATCGGTAGCTATATAAGCGTGTGAATGTCTGAATCGGTTGTTATATAAGCGGGTGAATATCTGAATCGGTAGCTATATAAGCTTGTGAATGTCTGAACCGGTAGCTATATAAGCGTGTGAATGTCTGAATCGGTAGCTATATAAGCGTGTGAATGTCTGAATCGGTAGCTATATAAGCGTGTGAATGTCTGAATCGGTAGCTATATAAGCGTGTGAATGTCTGAATCGGTAGCTATATAAGCGTGTGAATGTCTGAATCGGTAGCTATATTTAAGTCAACTTGAGTGACTCATTCCATAGACTTGTACAAAAACGGTCGTGATTCGTGAGGACTCACTGTGTCAAGCCAAAATTAACCAAAGTCAATTAATTGGTCAGTCCATCCACTCTTGCCACCCATCTCCTCCTACCTGTGATGGTTTTAAGCACGATGTTTATCAGTTGATGAGTCAATTCGTCAACTTCTACCTCCATCTCATCCTACCCATGGGATCCTTTACCTTTGCTTGTTTTAGACATTGATAATAATCAATTGAGTCAATCCATCAACTATTGTCTCCCATCTCCTCTTACCTGTGCTTATTTTAGATACGATGTTAATCAATCGAGTCAATCCGTCAACTCCTGTCCCCATCTCCTCATACCTGTGCTTGTTCAAGGTGCAGGGTGATAACCAGTCCATTAACCCCGGCCTCTATCTCACCTTACCTGCATTTTCTTTATTTCAGCCGGAGGAGTTCTGGGGGCGGCTGGCTCGCTCGCGGCTGGAGTGGCAGAAAGAGTTCAAGACGGTGACGGACCACGATCGCCATCATTACCATTTCAGGTGGTTCCCCGACGGCCAGCTGAACGCGTCAGGTGAGGCTGTAGGTGACACTGCGTTTCACATGAGTGTGGATGAATGTGTGCGTGCGCTTCAGGTTTATTAATAGAGTTGCAGCCGGTGGCTGAAAATATACAAATTTACATGTGATTTAGACATAATGGGCTGAATTTTGTTGTACCCGTAGTGGCGGACTGCGCGAGGTGGGCAGGGTACTGCAGGTGGTATTAGGTGGCGATGATGAGGATGGCGCAGTAGTCCACTACCAAACCTTGCTAGTGCGTGGTGGTGGAGGTCACTGAGGGATAGCATTTCCAGGGTGGAGAGAGCGTTGTTGTAGCCGGAGTAGTCTGCGCCGAACATGTTTCTGCAGGCCCTCTTCTGTACCTTCTTTAGCTGACGTTGTTGGGTAGAGTTGAGAGAAGACGACCAGGCTAGTGACGCATACGTTAATTTTGGGAGTATAAATGCATTGTAGATAGTCCTCAGCTTTGGCGAGGGTGCCCCAAGTGATCTGAGTCGTCGTAGCATGTAGAGACGGTACAAGGCTCCCTTGATAGTGTTGTTTACATGGGCCTTCCAGTCCAGTTTGTGGTGTGTGTGTATATACCTCAGGTGAGTGTGGGGGAATGCTTGTGTGTTTCAGGAAGGTGTAGTTGAATGAGTGTGTGGTACTGGTAAGTTTGGATGAGAGTAGGTTCACCTCAGTGTGGATAAACGAGTGCATGCCTCGGGCGAGTGTGTGTGTGTGTGTGTGTAGAATTGATAAGTGTTTAGGTACTGTGTTATTCAGTAAAGTGTATTTCGCCTGAGTGTTCCAGCAGTGTGTTCAACCAAGTTTCGTGTCTCAGGTGAATAAAGTCACTTGTATTTGTGCTCTGGGGAGCGAAAATATGATAAAGATAATAATAATAATAATAATAATAATAATAATGATAATATTAATAATAATGATAATATTAATAATAACTATTATCATCATTATAATAATTAAAAATATAATAACAAAATACCTGTACAAAAATAAAAATAATATACCAAAAATAATAATAATAATAATAATAATAATAATAATAATAATAATAATAATAATAATAATAACCATAAATAAATACAAAAACGAGAAAAATAAATCAAGAATGAGAAACGATATACATTATGTATGTTGTGTTGTCAAAGTAAGAGAAACATTTGAGACCCTGCAATTGTGTGTAAATGAGGCAGAAAGTCAGATCAGCAACCTGGGACTTGGTCACAATTTTCGTGATGCCATATGGCAGCAGGGTCTACCATTAGACAACACATTAAGCTTCCAATATCTTCCCAGGCGGTAGTACCTCCCTGTTTGATAGCTGCCTCCTACCTGGTGTTACAGGTGGTTAGGTTTCATTTAGGTCAGATTTTATCATATTCCAAGGGAAGACAGAGACTGGGATGGATGGATGAACGAAATTAAAAACTGGATCCCCCAGAGAGATACAAAACCTTAGAGAATTGGTAAAAACAACCCAAGAACGTTTAAGATTGGAGAACTGCGGTCGCCAACCCTCACATACGAGGTCAGTACTCGGATTGGATTGCGCCCCGACCAACGTACCTGACACTGGATACTTACACTTTTGTTAAACACCTTATAGAGGCGTAATATGTGATGACAAGCAGTGTTATTAGTATATCCCAACCATATATGTATAACTCAGAAGTAGATACCAGATATTGCTAAGTGTTCAAGAATTTTGACCCCGACTGTATGTAAATTATAGAGATGGATATACAATAAGTGCATTAAGAAGTGTTTAGATAATGTTGATAAAAAGTAATATTGTGTTGTTCGAGGTTTAATTGTAAATAAATAATGAAAAGCATGACGCTAGAGATTGACTGTTGATTGCCTCTTCAAAGGATTCATTTTTTGTGGGGGGGGGGGGTGTTAAGTGACATATATCCTGCCTGTATTGCAGAAACCACATTATGTATTACAGGATTTCTTTTGATGAATGTTCTTTTGAATAATAATGCATGTATACAAATACTGGCAAAAACAAGTACAGTACTACTGTACTAGGAAACAGCCACATCAATCAGTCCCCTAGCCACATGAGTAGTGCCATGGTGCCACTTGAGCAAGGAAGGCACGGTAGGGCATAACATCGCACCTGGATGCGACTGTGCCTACACGAGAGCTGCAACACTTAGAGGCTCAGCCATGTCAATATTATTGTTCACTCTATATCTCATATACCGACTAAGTAACCTTTCAATTACTGTACATTATAGTTAGAATGAAAATTTAACATGATGTATATATCTAATAAATGAATATAATGCAGTGTATGAATATGAGGTGGTTATTGTAAGGCGTTTCAGGTGCACGGAATAGCTAACGCGTTAGCTATTCTGTCTGTGCGCGTCTGCACAGATAGAATAGCGGCGGGAAATATGACTGCGAACTACTTTATGTTTTTCCCGCCTTTGCTAACCGTCGTGTAATATTTCAATGTGATTCTGATCTTTTAAAATGTTGTTTTTGCATAATGTACTGTTACTGATATGTAATTTGTCTTAGTATGTTTTAGTGTAGGCAAAAATAAGTACCTGTATATATTGAATGCATCATCCGAAAGCGTGAATTTGCTACCTGAGTTTATCAGTTAATTCACGTATAATACTTCTGATAAAATTCCTACATGCTTATGTTTGGAAAAATGAATGTGTGTATCTTTATATAATTTAGCTAAATATCTTTCTCGTCAGAAACAGTCATCCCAACGATTATGAATAAACTCATTTAGAAATACATCATTACTCAGGACAAAATCGGACAGGTTTCCAACAGTCAATCGGCTGTAACTCTTGAGGAGGGGGTGGGGCATTTTTTCTTAGCTGAAAAATAACGCTCTATACTGTAGTTGAAACCTGTTTAGGCTCCGCCCTTTTTACGTGGGTGCAGTCCAATTTCATTAGCCGTTGGTGACTTTGGTGAAACATTATTGTTAATTACTTAAATATGATTAAAACTTTAATATCATTCCTCATAAGATACTTTAAATAAGGGTGAACAAGTTGATTACAGTTCTGTGAGTGCAAAATTTAAGACTTAAACGAACTTGAATTTCGTCGTATTACGTGCACAAATATGCGAACACAGCCACGAGAGAAGAAGCGTAGAGCAGAGCTGCTCTCTGGTTGTTTCATGTGCTTTCCAAGTCCTTTATAACGGGCCCGATTTTTTTTTCTTATTTATTGTTGATCGGTTGACATTTTTTTTTTTTTTTTTTGTGGCTTTCTTTCCACAATTTTCGATATAATTACTTCACTATTTCTTTCTGTATTGTGTCCAAATAACAGTTCTCCTAATTTTGTTGTTTTCTGAAGACTGTGTTGTACAACAGTTATTCCCAAGACGCGGTACAATGTCGTATTTTTTAATGACAGTCCGGGAAAGCTAACGCGTTAGCTATTCTGTGCACCCTAAAACGCCTTACATAAACGCCTATAATGATTGCGTGAAGTTGAGAATGGGTGTCTGAAGTACGAAGCTAAGATGTTGTCCATGTATGACGCAGTGAACTGTGTGGACCGTCATGCCAGGCGTCACCCAGACCGTGTGGCGCTACTCTGGGAGAAGGATGAGCCAGGGCAGGAGGAACGCATCACCTACAGGTAACCTGGTATGAATCAGGTGCAGGGGAGGGTGGGAGAGAGAGAGATAGGAGTGATGGGAGTCAGACTACAGCTGTCTAGACAAATTCATCACAGGAGACGACCCAGTCATGTGAAGTACTGTATTGTATTACCTGATAACCTCATGTCCACCCTATAACACAAGTACAGTACCTCACACACATACATCCAACCCTTATGACCTTCCCTGCATCACCGTCTCTTCAGGGAGCTGCAGGACCTGGTGTGTAAGATGGGGAACGTCCTGAAGGATAGCGGTGTTCGGCGCGGCGACCGGGTGGCTCTCTACCTGCCAGTGTCACCACTCGCTGTTGCCGCTATGCTCGCCTGCGCCAGGATAGGAGCCGTCCACTCCGTCGTGTTCGCTGGGTTCTCGGCTGAAGCTCTCGCCTCCAGGATACAGGATGGTAGGTGGCCTTGGGTGGAAATTCATTATAGTATTGGACACTAGTGTAATGGAGGTACTAGAGGATAAAATACGTTTAGTAATGTATTAGTCTAGTAAGTTTCTCACTCCATAGAATAGACAACTTGTGCTTTTAAAAGTTATCCAGTGAATATAATCCCCACTTTTTTCCGGGCTCTGGTTATTTTAGGGTAAGTTAGGTTATGGATAGAGATTTCAGTTATGTGCAGATATTTTATTAAATTATTGTCTATAGATGATGGACCATAGAAACTTCAGGACATTGACAAGAAAGCCGTAAAAGTAAAATAACACCGTAATAAACTTAAGTTAATGTTTATTGTCTACAGTAGGTTTGTCACTGTTGTTGATGATAAAGCCTTACTGTATGTGAAAATGTGGCAAGAGTTCAATTTACATGTATTACTAACATCATGTAATTAATTGTAATCCAGATGACCTTTGTTATTAATTATCTGAGATAAAGGCACAATATTTATCAGGTGTCTTCGAGAGCTGCAGCACTAGAAAGTCTCATTTATGTCATTACAATATTTTTGTTGTTCACACTTCATTTTTCTGATTAATTGTTTCAATTTCAATTTGAACAGCTGGGGTGGAGACAGTCATCACAGCCGACCAGGCAGTGCGTGGGGGCAAACTTATCCAGCTGAAACAGGTGGTGGACGCTGCCGTGGAGAAGTGTCCCTCCATCAAGCGGGTCCTGGTGGGCACACGCACCGGTGCCCAGGTCAAGATGGGGCCAAAGGATATCGCCTTATCCCAGGTGTGTGGAATCTTCATTCAACTTTATTTAGTTATACTGTATTAGATAAAAAGTCATACATGCTTACATATACCTTATAAACATTTACCAAAACTAACACATAAGTATCAAAAACAATTATTTCCAATGTGTCCTCCACTCAGGTCACCTCAATCTTCCTCGACACCCATCTTTTGTTAATGTTTCTAAACTGCTGCATTTAATGTACAGTACTGTACAGCATTACATAAAGTACCACAGTAGGATAAGCATATTATACAAGGTACCTGTATATAAATATTTCCGGTATATTGTCACATCTCATGATCTCTGCCACTGTGTTTTGTGTGGTCACAATGCTTATCCACACTACACCATCTACAAATATGTGTACACTTTGCCATTGTGTGGAAGACTTATATATCAGTCTCCTGAACCTTGACGAAGTTTTGTTTATGTTCACAGTTGATCTATCTCAATACTGGAGATTTCTGACCTCCTGCACACACACACACTATCATTGTCTTCTTTATGTACCGGTACATAGACTCTTAGAACACTAGCATATCCCCTTTAAACCTTGAAATATCCCATTATGTTAGTTCTTTCAAAAGCAGAAGAGAAGTTTTAATTCTCTTTTAATGCCGGCCATGAGTCCCATATTGCTGCTGACAAAATGGGTCTTGTCCCCAAAAAATTTAAGTGGAAAATACTGATAACTTTCACACCAGACACGCACATGGATGGACGGAGGCAACAGGTGACAAAAATAAATAGAAATATAGGTACAACTACAAGTATAGGTATAACTCAGTGTTTTAGTTGTATGGTAATGAAATGCTATCAGTGGGTGTGCATAGATTGTATTGGAGTACCCACACACAGCACTTCCCTGTCTTGCCTCACTCCTCCACCTTCTTTTGATACAGGCCCTGAGCAGTGCCTCAACAGAGTGTCCCCCAGCTGTGCAGAATGCAGAGGACTTGCTATTCTTGCTGTACACTTCAGGCAGCACGGGCTCCCCCAAGGGCGTGGGGCATTCAACAGCAGGCTACCTCCTCTATGCCGCCACCACACACAAAGTAAGGCAGCAACTTGGTGCTCATCCACATACTGTACACACAACACCATCATCAATACACCTCACTCTGAATTCTAGCAGTACTGTATAGAAAATGTCCACATTGTAGAATAAGTTTAGAAGTTACTGACACAAGCAAATATAGTCTACAGCACACTTACAGCAAATTGAAGGGAGCACTTGCAATACCAGGCATTACTTTCTTTATGTAAGTTTCAAGTTGATAATTTGGAAAAAATTATTTCACTATTACTCTGTAATAATGAGGTATCACTTTTTCTCTGATCTTTTACTGTTTTTTGTTTTATTTGCACCTGAAGCTTGACTCAAGGTAAGGTAGAATCTCTTCTCTGTAGTAAATGTTTCTGAAGTTATGTTTGCATTGATGCTAGATTGTTCCCAGTAGCTTGAGCATGTTTATAGCTTATCATGATTCAAGGAACTTCAGTTTATTTACTGTAGCTAAAGGCTGTTATGATAGAAATTGATTGTGTAGTATTATAAGTGTTAACAGTAGCCATAAGACTGTTTACTGGAACATAAGACTGTACAAAAAAGCCAGACTGTAATGTATAGTTCTTTATGGTAGTGCAAGACTGTCTGTGTTAGAAGATTAAGGTATAGTAGTGTGGAAAATGGATCGGATAAACGATTACCGTAGTTACCCCCTAGTATTATTGCTATGCTACAGTGTATTACTGTATATGTCAGTTGAATATATATATACAGTATATATGGTTTCTAGTTTCTGTGCTGTGTGTTTGTAATTAATGATTGACAATGTAATACTATCAAAGTATTCTAACAAAGGATGTACAAATAGACATTAATATTTTGTAAGTTAGCACCACTTAGTGTCTGCTCCTTATAGCACGTCTTCGACTACCGGGAGGGGGACGTGTTTGGCTGTGTGGCAGATATTGGCTGGATCACCGGGCATTCCTACGTGGTGTACGGCCCCCTGGCAAACGGCGCTACTACCCTGCTGTTCGAAAGTACCCCCTCCTATCCCAACCCAGGTATGTTACCCCCACTACCCCACCCACTACCTATCCCAACCTAACCTTATTACCCCACATCACCTACCCCAACCCAGCCATATTAACCCACATCACCTACCCCATCAAGTAAGCCTTATTACACCACACCACCTATCCAATCCAGGTATTTGAGACATTCGAAAATCATCTCTTATGGGTTCTTACTAACTTTTTAATCAGTTTTTTGCACCTCAGTTGTGAATGGTGCTGAAAACAATTAAATTATCAGGTTCTTACCTCAACAGTGACCTTGCCTGGCTGTGTGAAGGCATTAAGGGATCACTGTACAAAGTCATTCTGTGTCTACTTAAGAGGTTTATCACAATCTATTAAAAATCTCCCAGGCTTAATACTATCAGTTATAATCTTTGAGTCCTGTTTTTTGCTATGTATGAATAGAACTTAAAGTAGTAAGCTATTTCTGTTTGTTTTTCTATGTAATTAAAAAATGTACAGTAATATATATTTAAATGCAGGAGGGCAAGAGCGGATCCAGGGGGGGTCCTGGGGATCCGAACCACCCCCTTTTCATCAGAGAATTCCAAGACTTTTTCTTTAATGCAGTATTGTACTCAGGCATTTTTGTATTATAAAAAGTAATTGCTATTGACCTTAGAATATCTCCTAATATCAAGTGCACATGACTTCAAAATGCCCATGATATTGGTCAGATTACAACCAGCTGAGTAGGCTGGCTTTGCTCACCATGTTCCCCACTTAGGTAGTAGGCAGCAGGAGGTACTTCTGCCTGGGAAGATATTGGAAGCATAATGTGTTGTCTAATGGTAGACCCTGCTGCCATATGGCATCACGAAAATGTGACCAAGTCCCAGGTTGCTGATCTGACTTTCAGCTTCATTTACACACAATTGCAGGGTCTCAATTGTTTCTCTTACTTTGACAACACAACTTATATACTGCATATCGTTTCTCACTATTGATCTTTTTTTTGTTTCTGGCATCTGTTTATTGTTCTATTTATATATATATATATATATATATATATATATATATATATATATATATATATATATATATATATATATATATATATATATATATATATATATATATATATATATATATATATATATATAAAAATATATATATATATATATATATATATATATATATATATATATATATATATATATATATATATATATATATATATATATATATATATATATATATATATATATATATATATATATATATATATATATATATAATGAGGCAAACAAGCACTAACGCCAGAAAGATACTGCCCCCCCCCTTTCCTGCACTAGATGTAGTCACCCACATGTTCAACATCTGTGATCGACCCTGCCGGTCCCATATCGGCCTCTTTAGTCACCTCGGAACTCGCCAACCTAGGTGTCACCCTAAATAACTCGTATCATATATGGATGATCGTCATACTTGATTCCGAGCGACAGCAAAGTATTAGTACTGTAGTACGCTGTAGTAGGAATCTTGATTTATATGTGTTTCTTAATGTTAATTTTTTCCTTGCTTCTTTACCAGGTATGCCATTCTGGATATAAGAAACAAGCATCAGTGGAGACCCTTTCGAAATACAGTATATAAAGAAATGAATGTGATGGAGCTAAACTTAATACTTAAAACAAGAGTTTCAGCAAACCTGTCATAAAAGAAGTTAAATCACTTAGAGTTTGTCGTGCAGGTCGGTACTGGGAGATGGTGGAGCGGCTACGTCTGACACACTTCTACTGTGCTCCGACTGCGCTGCGCCTCTTGCTGCGTTATGAGGACGACTTCGTGCTGCGCCACGACCGCTCCTCCCTGAGGGTGTTGGGATGTGTGGGTGAACCTCTGAACCATGAGGCCTGGCACTGGTTCAACGACATGGTGGGAGAAAAGCGCTGCGTCCTCACTGACACCTGGTGGCAGACAGGTGGGTAATAATGACTGATGAGGAATAAGTGATGAAGGACACGAGATGGGCATGTAAGATGAGAATATAATAATTTACTTCAAGCTCTGTGAGAATTTCCAAAAATATTAAATTAATGAACTTATTTGTCTGGATCCTTCATAAGTTTTAATTTTTGTAGTCTAGTTCCAGGAATGCAAAAATCCGTTTTGGCTCTTTAATATAATTTACTACTGTATTGATAAACTCCAATATAAAATGACAGTTTTACTTTATTGATTATGTATTTTGTCAAACCCCTAAATTGTTCGACAGAGACGGGAGGCATCATGATCAGCCCACGACCCTCTGCCCCTGATGCACCTGTCTATCCAGGAATGCCCATGAGGCCCATGTTTGGAGTGAATCCAGTGTTGTGTGATCCCAATGGAAAGGTGGTCGAAGGGCTGGGTGTGGACGGTGCCCTGTGTGTGAATTCCGTATGGCCCGGCATCTCCCGCACTGTCTATGGTGACCACAAGCGCTATGTTGACACCTACTTTAGTCCCTACCCAGGATATTACTTCAGTGGTGATGGTGGCTTGAGGTGAGGTGCCAGATGATCTGCTCATTGGTAAACTAATAATTTAAAGGGAGCTAAAGATTGATTTTGATAGGTTTCATTGGTTTGAAATGAGGTCCATAAACATACTGTTAATCAGACAGTTTATACAGCCGTAATAGTCAGGGTATCAGAATCTTAAGCATGCAAAAAATAAGCTTGAGTTTTTTTACTCGTGGGTCTTTTAAGTAACATCCTAGAATATAAAAATGCTACGTTCACTCAGAACTCTTATGCAATATGACTGTCTTTTTTCAATAGAGTTTTTGTGATACTGTATTGGCAAATTGTCAATGGAGGTTTTTAGTTTTTACAGGGCATGTCTTGTATTTTACTGACCTGATTAGTATATTTTAACCTCTTGGGTACTAAGGGTAACTGTGCAATGAATAAAATTGTCTTTAGTGTTGGCCAAATAAATTACTGTACACTATTGAAAATGACATCCAGTAGGGAAGATGTTGTAAACAAAATTATAAAAAGCACCATCTAATTTGAAATTAACCTAATTTATTCTACTAAATGTTGACCCCCATGGGTGAGCTCTTGCTGTTGATGAGCATGATAGGTGTGGTGTGGGTTATTTAGCAACTTTACTCACTTCCAAGCTCAAAGTTACTGACCCCACACATGTCCTAACATTTACTCAAATTAACTGAATGATTTACTCTTTCATAGTTAAATTTTTATAGCATTTTGCTGGTTATTAGACCAGACTTAATATGTTGTTCAACTTTATTTATATGTTGTTAAATTTGGACAATTTTCATTATTATAGTACCTAGTTGGTACCCTAATACATTTTATTGGGTAGTCTTTGTACAGTAATCCCCCAGTTTACGGAAGGGATGCAGCCTTGAAAAGTTTACCATGACTTGAAATTCCGTAACGTGAACCCCATTTTCCCATTGACTTCCGTTATGTTGTTGGAGATGCATTCCTAAGGATATTTTTTCAGCAAGGAGAAGTAATACAAACTTTTATGAATGAAAATAGTCATTTTTAAACACATGCATTGATTATTTTCTGATACAGTATTAATATGACCGTAAATACAGTAGGGTCTCGGAGTACTTGTAATCATAGTACATGACCCCACTTATACATGGCTGACACTTGGGACTCGCTCTTTCATGAACCAATCCACCCACCGTCTCTTGCTAGCTCAATGTGTTTATCTCTCGGCTGTGATCAATTGAGAAAAATATAAATAATCATTACAATACTCTAATGTGGCTTAGAAATAAAGAAAATCTAATGTAAAACTATAAAATATGAAAAATGAAGAGCATAGGTGTGTATGTGTGGGAAGTGAATGTTTTTGGGTGCAGGCAGTGAGCTGTAACAGCGTAGACAACTTGCCAGTCTGGCTCCCTTCCTCCCTCCGCTGGGTGACTGCCCAACTAAGAGGCTAAACTGTGTCTCATCGCCCAGAGGATGGTTTGAGTGTGGAAAGAGCTATTCTTTGTACAGTACTGTACATAAAATGATATACAGTATATTGTACCAGTAAATGTGAGGAATAAATAAAAATAATAGCTACTGCACACAAAACACTCGAATTTAACTCCACAAATGATGTTGAGTGCAGTGTGAGGTGAAGTGGTGCAACGAAAGTTATTGGGAGGGAGAGGCATTCAGGAGCCGGTGCATGCCCAGTACTTGTCAACATTGCGTAACAGAGACGTGACCGATCGCCCAAGCGGCTAACGAGACGATCAGTGGTGAAGAGGATAAAAACAATTACTGTCTTCTGCCTTGCCCTCTAAGTCATCATCAACTGCTTCAGGCTCTGCTCTGGGGGTGAAAAATATACCCAAAATTGTTTGACATTTACAGCGCATTTTCTCTTTGTACAGCTCACTGTAGCAGGTGAGGCCATTATGAACTGCTCTTGCAACTTCGAAGTTATGTTCATAATTGGGATCATTAGCAGCAAAGATTTGCAAACCTTCTTCTATAAGTGCAAACCGTTTTGCCATTTCCTTTGTAGTCCACTGAAGTGGGGTGGGTGGAACTTTTATATCCTCCTCTTCTCCTGCAGCTCGCTCTTGTTCCAACAGCATCAGATCCTCGTTAGACAGATCTTCTCTATGGGACTGTAGCTACTCAACCACATCATCTTCTACAACTTCTGCAAAGCCAACATCATTTGCAAGTGTCACAAAGTTTTATTGAACTTGATGTATACTTTCTGCTTGTGGAAAACCTTGAAAGTCGTGGGTACACTCTTGCCATATGTTTTTCCAAATGCCATTCATAACCGATGATTTTACTTAATCCCACGACTCTGCTATGATCTCCACTGTGTCCATGATGTTGAACTTTTTCCAGAAATATCTAACTGTAGGTTTATCCTCCCCTTCAATTGTTTTTATGAGATTTAAAAAATTCTTCTTAGAAATATGCCTTGAAGATTGCAAACACACTTAATCCATTAGCTCCACTTCATTTCAAGTTCACTGGGTGATTTGGTGCATTGTCTAAGAGGAGCAATGCTTTGTTGGATATATTATCCTGTCACTGTACCTTTCACCCACAGACAAAAAAATAATTAGTGTACCAGTCTTGAAAATGGCTCATAATCATCCAAGCCTTCTTATTTGAATGCCAAATCACAGGTAGATTAGACTTGGCGTACCTCTTGTAAAACCACGGATTTTCATATCACCAGCAGTGGCTAACGAGCCGATCAGTGGTGAAGAGGATGAAAGTAAAAGAAGCTTTAAAACCTGATGTTGACTTTCTTCCTTCGAAGTAAATGTTCTAGCAGGCATGCACTTCCAATAAGGTCCAGTTCATCCATGTTGTACACTTGTTCTAGTGTATACCGGTAGCCTCTTTCATCAATAATTTTCTTTAGCTTGTCAGAATATTTAGGTGTGGCTTCTGTATCAGCACTGGCAGCTTCACCACTAATCATAATGTTATGCAAATTAAGGTGTTTCTTAAACCTTTCAAATCAACCTTTACTCGCCTGAAAAAGTTTTGGCTTAGTAGCTAAACCTTCCTCTTTCTGCAAATCATTATATACAAACTTTTTACCTTCTCTTGAATGATCATTGTGTTAATCAGCACATTACATTGGGTCTGGTCTTCGATCCTCACACTCGGGAGTTATTCCATATTAAGCATCACATAATGATGTGATGCTTAATATGGAATGACGTATCAAACACTAGTGTTTTGGGAATCTGGCTAAAGTTTTTCACCCACATCAAACCTCCGTAAAACATCCAGTTTTATAACATAATTCCTTTATGAGGTCATTTAGCACTACTGCTTTCACTTGTACTTGATGGCCTCTTTCCACTCCTCTTGAATCGGGGTAATACACAGGACAGGCTTGAGTAAGATATGTACATAAGTACAGTATTAAATCCAAGAGCTGGGGTCAAGAGATCAAGCGTACAAGCTGGGAGAAAACAACACGCCGAATAAATTATGATTTCTGTGAAATATTTTTTTTTTTCTGTCGCAATTTTTATGTTGAAAATTTGCCCCATTTTCGTAAGGTCAAATTTACGTGCCCTATCCCAAATTTAGTGGTCATAATTTACAAATTACGTATGGCTGAATTTCCACAACCTGAGTTTCCATATTGTGGGGATACCTGTACAGTATATCATTAGTATGCATTTGTTGGATATAATATTAAATAAGGAAAGAAGACCCCGTCATCAAATGTAACAGTGTAGTGATGAAAGTGTGTTGTCATTCCAGGGACAAGGATGGTTACTACCACATCACAGGCCGTATGGACGATGTCATCAACGTGACCGGTCACCGCCTGGGCACAGCTGAGGTGGAAGATGCTATGGTGGGTGTCCATGAGTTCTCCTCTTGAGTTTTATCAGATCAACAGTGCCTCGTTTTTTCCTCTCAATGATTCAAAGTACTGTACTGTCAAATATTTTATTTTTTTATGATTTTCGGCACTCATCAGCTTACTAGTCAGTCAGGCGGTTGGTCTCTCCAGTGTGTATACAGGAGGAAACTAGGGACTGGGAAGCCTGTGATATTTTGTAGGGTCACACTGGATAACACCCTTCTCATGTGTGCCTGGGCCAGGGCTCAAACCCTTGACATATTGGCAAGAGTTATGCTTGTTACTGCTATTCCATTAAATTTTCTTTGAGGAACCGAGTACATTATTGCTGATTATATAAATATTTAGGACAACACTGAATAAGGTACTTCTTATAATACCAATGAACTTGTCGCTTTAATCATCACTTGAGATTAGAGAAAGTACAGCAATAGTAAGCAATTACAGTTCACTATTCTACTGTATGTACTTTCCAAAGTGAACATTATTAATTGTTATGACTCAATTGTGAAAGGGTTCACTGTCACTCCTTTAAATTGTATAAATTCAGTAGAAATGTCTACAGCAGCTCCTAAATTAGATAACGAAGCACAGAAAATGAGAATAAAAAGATAGTATGACACTCCACTGAAGTATTTGGAGTATCTTCCCTCTCTTCCCTCCTTCCTTTTCATATGACCCTCCATTCCTTCATCATGTAAGATGCAACTTTTCAATGTTTAGAGTTAGTACTTGATTTTTATTTCTATAACTTTCTTGGTTATATCTCTTTTATTTTCTTTATTTTCCAATTCATTTTCTCAAAGTATTTATTGTATTTACTTCAGTCCTTTTATTTATTTATTTTCTATTACATGTACTGTACTTAATTTTATTCTCAGAGTTCCTTGGCTATATTCTATTCTGTGGGTTAACCTGGAACAACCACCTCGTCTATTCTTAAACATTCGTGTAATTCCTGGATTTCCGTCTTAGAGCTTCCACCACCCAGGCTTTCTTTAGAATATACCATGTACAATGAACCTCTCCATTAAATTGGTAGCATGGTATGCACGAGAGGATAGGCATGTGAGTTATCAAGTGTATTTTCAGGGATGGCAATTGTTAGAAGGAATAAGCGGTGATACACACATTCTACTGAATCAATATTTATTAAAATAAAATCTGAATACTGTGGCAATTTAAACCTTCACTTGTCACAATAAAATTGGTTTCAATTACCGACTACTTTACTGCAATAATTAGACAAACTAGGACTGACCGTTGGGTTGTGCTTCATGAATAGCAAAAATAAATCTTCAACTATCATTTACAACATTCAATAATTATACCTCCTTATGTGTATTATTACACTTCAGTGACAATAATGATGGTCACTCTTCACACTTGTCAATAGCACAGAATGATGGTATTACTTAGAGCACCATGCCATTACTTGATTAACAGGAAAACACATATCAGCATATCTGCTGTGAGTATAGCTGGTTCACTCACATATATATACGGTAACAAGCACTAATTCTGGTATAGTAATATTTATGGTTTCAGAACTCAACCTGGGACAATTGTATTCCCGATAACCCATCCACAGTGATGTACATACAGTAATAATCATTAGTACATACAGTACACCAGGCTTACACTGCTGGCTCTGATGTTCAAAACAAATGCTGCTCGGCTACACTCTAAAGCCACGGTGCTCGAGAGCCCACTCACCCTTAAGTGGTTCCCAGGGCTCATCACGCACTCGGATCTTAATCTTGTTGTATTAAAGACATCCCACCTCAGACATCTTGTCTGCAGCAGCAACTACACACACAGTGCCTGGTATACAAGGAAGACAATTCAGAGAAGTGTAAAACCAAAATACAAAATCTCTCTCCACATGTCTGGCAAGGGAATGCATGGATCACTGAACACATTCACTTAATATGGCAGTGTGAGGCACTAAGTACATACCTGGTATATGAGGAAGGCAATTCAGAGACGTGACTGCTCATCTCTTGTGCACCACTTAATACGCCATGATGCCACATCAAGAACTTGTATTTTCATTTAACTCTGTTGCGGTATACATTGCACTATGCGAATCGGTATCATGTGTCAGATCAATTTCTTAAGGCTATCGCTTACAATCTGAACCAGTGTTTGAATTTGCAATGCAATAATTAAATTGCAAAAAGTGCGTAGACTGGCATTAGCACATTGGGCTAAATAGGTGTGAGCCGTCGACAGGTTTCTCTCAAATGATTAAGGCCATTCTTAAATACAAAACTGACAATTATGTCAATACAGCCATCAGATTCTCTGATGATTGTAAATCAAAACAAACTGATTTCAGTGGCAACAGAAACTTTGTATGTCTCGCATTGCGGGAATAGGATTCTTTCCGCTATTGCAAACTTTAACTCGTGACTTACTTGACAGTTTTACTAAAGGTAAATATAGTTGAAGATTGCAGCATCACTCGCAATGGATCTTGAATGTTTCAGTTGTAAGCATGTACCATATACAGTATACATTTCATCTTGGAGTAACTCATACGCATTCATTCGTAATTTCAAATACTGTATATGAATGTAAACATAATGTACAGTACTAGGGATTCTGATCGATAGAGAAAGTGGACTTCTCAGTAGAGTACTGAAGCAGACAGAAAATGGACCTCTCAGTAGGAAGACTCGGGAATTAAGTTATAGCTCCATTTTTTTATGGGCTATTGAGTGTAATATGAATCATCTGATTTTACTTTAACTAACAAGTATGACTGTGGTCAGTACAATCACAACCATCTCTTCCTCCTTCATGTCCCTCTTATATCTCCATCACTCACCTTTTTTAGTCATCATATTTCACCCTCTCATTGTACATTCCTCCTTCATGCCTCTCCTTTGGCCTGGCCAGATGGAGCACCCAGAGGTGGCAGAGACAGCAGTGGTTGGGTTCCCTCATGACATCAAGGGCGAGGGAGTGTTTGCCTTCATTGTGCTCAAGAAAGACCTCCACTCGACCCAGGAGGAGATTATCTCGGACCTGAAAAAGCTCGTCAGAACACAAATTGCTGGATACGCTGTGCCTGAGGTTACGCTGGTGAGTGTAAAACTTACCTCTCTAAACTAAAAGCTCTTTACGTGGAATAAAGGTGTAAAGACTCCCATTAACATGTCGCCCAAATATTAAATAGCCCTAAGCTTTTTTTAGTTATTTATCTAATGCATTGTATTGTGTTGTTCCTTGGTAAAACAGATGCTTTGCCTAATGTTCTCCAGTTAAGAAATGTTTCAGGAAAGTACATAAAACTGATAGTTTTATAAAGCTAAACTGATCTATGTTAACCACTTGTGTATGGTTTCCCCTCTTGGCTGAATAAAATTGTTTGTTAGCCAAACAAAATATCAAAAGTGGCATCCCTGTAGTGAAGGGATTCGGGGAGATAGTCTACTTACCCCTTGTGTACAGGGTTCCTTCTGAACCGAATAAAATTGCCTGGCATCCCTGTAGTGAAGGTGTTAAGGGCATTTCACTTGCTGGTAGGCCCTGAGTTTCACTAATGTAACTGTTATATATGGGACAATAAACGAGAGAGAGAAATACTTGAAAATATTACATTACAAACTTTACTCTGGAGCTACCAGATAGTAAATCACCTTGTAGGATGCCTTGATGTGATCACTTTCTATAGCTGGTATTGATATTTTATTAATAATTTGTGTAATGAAGGACTTAACCATTGCTGAGGAACTAATCTTGTTATCTTGATGCAGGTGTGTCCTGGCCTGCCCAAAACCCGCTCAGGTAAGATCATGAGGCGGATCCTGAGGAAGGTGGCTGCCAACAAACCTGAAGAGCTAGGGGACATCTCCACTCTGGCAGACCCCTCTGTCGTCAAGGCTATTGTCGATATCTTCAATGCCCACCGCACCCACTGACATAACCTGTACGCCCACTAACGTTATATGACATGTTGTTTAGTAGCATATGCACAGTCACTGTAGAACTTTCACACCCATGAAGAGGACACGTAAATAAATTTCTGGAACTAATATCCCTATGGACAAAACTTGCAGAACTTTATACTGTATCTGTAACCATGGCATACACAACAATTTTAATACCTGTATGTTCACAGGTTACACACACACAGCCATTTACTGAACTTTACCGAAGGAGAAGTAAACACACCCTGTAAACAGATCCCTGTGCACCTACTAACAAGTTGTAGATTGTTACTGACAAATATTCCATGTTTACTGAATCGTCCACGTCCTCTGACTTTACAAAAATGTCCACTCGTGAGTTTTTATTTCATCTCGGACACAGTCTAGAGTTCTCCTGGACTTACTTTACTACTGACGAATACCAGTCTCGCCCATTAACATTCCAGTGAAGTGTTTTGCTCTCTTATCTGCCAACTTTCTCGCCCACAAGATGACGCCACACACATTCATGCCCCGACTCATGTCTCCCATAACCAATCTCACTCACTCATACCTACCCATAAACTCCTCATAACCACTCACTCCCGCCACACTCATCCTTCATACTCACAAACCTACCGTATCCCATTTGTGCAGTGTAGTTAAGCAATACAACACTCTTGACCCATGGCACCCGCCTCCTACACACATACATACCTACAACACTTGTTTTTATGACTCGATGAGCTAAAACTGTTGATCACTATGTAAGGTAATTTGGCAGCTGAGTCAGCAGGTGTACAAGGATCAACACTGACCGTTGGGAAAACTGAGGCTCGACACTGACTACAGTTCATTTGTAGACAAGTTTTACCGAGTTGCACTCCAGTACAGTACAGTAATTCTTTACAGTGTATGACATAAATCATGATACATCTTGTGTGGGTATATACTGTCCCCTTTATCTAGGACCTGTTCTGTTTTAACAAGCTTTAATTTAGATATGTGTGGAATCGTCTTTAATATTACGATTGTATCCAATGGTATTTTCTACTAGAAAGGCTCAGATTATAGTAAAAACACTGATCAAATATAATATTCAAGGCAGATAGAAGTGCAGCATAAGCAAGCCTTATTTAAGCGACAGTTTTTCATATAAATGGCAGAAATATACATAGGTAGGTGTGTGTGTGTGTTTGTGTTTGTTTGTGTGTTACATAAGAAGGTATATGGCCTTTGTGTGTACATGGTACACAAGTGACTTTCGTCCACAGTGAGTTTGGCCAACACTGTGGTGTATCTTTTGCGTCCACGCTCACTTGGTGCTCGGTGCTACCTAATGTTCAAAGCTGTATCTAATGCTTCTTACTGTTGTTAAGATGTATTGCTAACTTTGGTATTTTCTGGCAGGGAATAAATATAAGTCTCATTAGTTGACTACTGTACCTGTAATTCAGTAACCAATATATGGGTAGTGAATGTGGAGACGGTGGAAAAGTTTGAAGCAAAATTAGATAAATACTGGAAATATCAAGAACAAGTATATAATTATAGGGCACAAATATCCGCCACACGCTGCCACTGTCTGAGTATAGAAGAGGCTATTGAGCTGGAGTCACAGGCGTGAGCCTCTTCCAGAAGATCATCTGTGAGTATATGTATAGTTGCTTTTTTTTCTGTCAATGTTGACCAGATATGACTTCGCTCTGTATTGTGAGGGAGACGTCCACAGATAGAGAGACACACGACCATCCAGGTGTGCCCAGCCAACACCACTCTTAGTTATGACAACAGATGCTTAAAGCATTGCCACTGCTGGTGATGAAACAGGATAAGCAGTAGAATATATTTAATACCATCCATAATTGGCTTTTTCTTTTTCCTGAGATAGTTGTTGTTGATGTGGGCAACTTTGACCCCATGAGGATCATACCAAACCTTTGAGTAAAGTGAATTAGTCCTGTGGTTAATGCAGTACTGTATATTGTAATTTCTTGAATACATGAGTTTATTTGAATATGATGTTAACTAAATATGATTATCTTTTATCTTGAGTATGATGACATTTTACTCAGGATTAGGTCATCTTGCTCATGGATTTAAATATTATTCCCGCCCAGGTGAAGAAACACCTGTGTGGATACAGGTATTACCTGCCTACATCTTAGTTCCTACTGGATAGGTGTATTTCTCTAGGGATCCATGACTGAGAGGCCACTAGTAGTCACCCTCTTATATTCCTTGGCCACCCATAAGGTAACATGACATAATATCTTGTTGGGCCACCATGGTGTGTGTGTGTGGGGGGGGGGGGGCACACTTAGATATAAAGTTATTTCTATGTGACCAATGATTTTGGAAGTTGGTACTCCAGCCCTCATCATTGAACAGAGTGTCTGCCGGTGGCTATTGTCCAGTTCATATGGATTCATCTTTGAATATCAAATCGTCCTCATCTTTCTTAGTCAGATCGACAGACGCTTCTCAACTTTTGCTTCTCGCTTGCTAGATTTAAAGTAGAGGAGGCAGACCTACTTTTCAGGTCCAAACCATATTCATAACCTAAGGATTTGTACAAGAACACTTCATTCACCTCGACCCCAATCTTCTACTTGGAAAATGAAATCCCTCCTCTTGGACCTGTCAGACTCTCCCATTGAAGCAATTTTGTTCTTTTTCTTTCTTTTATCCTCTTCACCACTGATCGGCTCGTTAGCTGCTTGGGCGATCGGTCACGTCTCTGTTACTTTTCTTTTTCTTTTATCCTCTTCACCAAATGATCGGCTTGTTAGCCGCTTGGGCGATCGGTCACGTCTCTGGTACGCACTGTTGGCAAGTACTGGGCATGCACCAGCTCCTGAATGTGCCTGAACCTGCTCCAGTGCTGGTCAAGTCTGATCTTGAAAAAGCTCACACTTTGTGCCGACACAACACTTTCTGGTAGATTGTTCCAAGAGTTCACAACTCTCACTCCAAAAAAGTTTGCCCTCACAGTTTTCTGGACCTGCGGCTTCTTCAATCTTGAGCTGTGACCCCGTGTGGGGCGAGCGTCCACCAGCTCTAAGTAAGGACACTCGACTAAGTAGTGCCCCCTTGAGATGCTTATACACCTCAATTAGGTTGCCCCTTGCCTGTCTGTAGTATGAGCTAGGCAAGTTCAGGCGCTCCAATCTCTCAGGTTAGTTGAGCTGCTGAAGTGCAGGCACCAGTCTGGTGGCCCTCTGAACATCTTCAACCAACTGACAGTCCCTAGCATATCTAAGGGACCAGACGGGGTGACAATACTACAGATGGGGAAGCACTTTACTCTTGAAGATAGATATGAGGGACGGACCGTCTAGATATCTGAACGACCTTCTTATAAGACCCAATAATTTATTCGCCTGATTTACCTTCTTCTCACAATGGCCCGAGAACTTCAGCTCATTGTCAACATAAACACCTAGGTCCTTCTCACATTCAGTCTCAAATGGTGCAGTTTCTTCATCCCGTTGGGACATATGATATGCCTCCTTGCTCTTGGTACGCCCCAGGTGCATCCTCTTACATTTCGTGACATTGAATCTCGGCAGCTATTTCTTGACCATTCTTGGAGTTCACAGAGATCCTTCTGCAGCTCTTCGCAGTCTGCATGGTTCTTGATTTCCAGAAATAACTTGGCGTCATTGGCAAACATTTGTATGGAGGAGTGTACAACATCAGGCATGTCATTTATGACAATAGATATTCATTGTCTCTGATGCACATACAACATGTGATGTAAGTGTACAATGAATATTTTAAATGTAATAAACTTTCCTTCCAGCCACCTCTTGGTATGCTGATGTGAAATACTGTACAGTTGTACCCCGCTTTACGCGGTCAATTGAACCCACAGGGTACCGCGTTAAGTGAAATCCGCGTAAATGGAACAACAGAACATATGGGATTAATTCCAATAGAGACTGGCCCGACCCCCAAACTCCACTTTTTGACGACACACAACTATGTTGTTGTAAAAATTTTATCTTAACTTTATGATGGTATGAACAAACAAGTAATATAGAAGAGGTTAGGTTAGGAAAAATAAAAGTTATGTTAGGAAAAATAAATGTTAGGTTAGGAAAACTAAGAGTTAGGTGTAACACTTACTTTAGAAGAAGAGATGGGTTAGCATACGGGGATGGAGGCTGGTTCCGAGGCAGAGGGCAGATTACTGGCCCTCAGGTGAATCATCATTACTAGGTGCATCACTATCAGTTACAGTTGTCAGGGCTTCCCTGACAAATCCCTCAAAGTCACCTTCACTGTCACTATCACTGGCTCTGGTTGGCTGTGGTGGGTTGCGGGCGAAGAACTCGGTAATGCTTTTTTGATGGCTAGTGTTGATGTTGTCTTGATACACCTTGATGTACGGCTCCATAGCCTGCACCAGCCGGGTATGGAAGACTTCATAGCGGTCATCGTCATTGTCGTTGGAAAGGAAGAGCTTCAATTTTTCTGAACACTCGATGGCACCCTTAATATGACTGTGCGTTAACTTGTGTTCTTCGGAGATTGAACCACCATCTTCCTCTTCACTGACGTGATCATCTTCCAACATCTCGTCGGCAGTCATTTCAGGATCTCTGATCACCTCCAGGATGTCTTCGTTGGTGGTCTCGGAGAAGCCTTCAGCTGTAATACTGTGCGCAGCTTCTCTGGCAAGGTCCACTGCTACTGCAACAGTCTGAACCTCACCAGTCACAGGTTGACTCCTCCTCTCACCTGGTATGCCATGCAACACATGCCTCCATGCGTGACGAATCGTAGCAATAGACAGCTGATCCCATGCCTCCACCAAGAAATCTACAGCTTGTTTGACGTTAAATTTCTTCCAAAACTGTTTGACGAGAACTTCTTGAGCCACCACCTCTTGTTCCTTGTCCTCGTCGCTTTTACTCTCGCTGTCGGTGTCACCCAGCTTACGCAACTCATCCTTGGTGTTGGTAGAGTCGTTCAGGAGCTTGAATTTCTTTGCCCAGTATGCAGCTTTAACATTGCAGATTAACTCCTGGTCCATGGGCTAGATTAATGACGTAGTGTTGGGAGGAAGGAAGACCACTTTTACGTTGGGGTGACGATCCATAAGTAGGGGCGAGTGTCCTGGTGCGTTGTCAAGGAGCAACAAAATGTTGAATGGAACATTCTGTTGCTCGCAGAATTTCTTGATGTCTGGAACGAAACAGTCGTCAAACCAGGAGAGGGACAGAGCAGAGAACATCCACGCCTTATGTGCGGTTAGCCAGTGGACATTAAGCTTGTTCATGTCCATATTCTTGTAGGCGTGCAGCTTGCGGGCTGTATGAATCACCGATAACTTTGGTTTACAGGTACCGGAGGCATTGGTGGTAAAGAGGACGGTGATGCGCTCCTTCTGCAACTTCCGACCCCAAACCTTGCTGGCAGACTGGACAACGAAGGTCTTGGTAGGCAGCTTTTTCCAAAAAAGGCCGGATTCGTCCATGTTGAACACCTGGTCGTCAGTGAACTGCCCTTCCTCCATAACCTCACGGAGGAAAATCTCTAGCCGCCACACGGTCAGCACTTGCTTCTTCACCACCAATGTTGATGTTGGTGATTTTGTTCCTCTTCTTAAACCCATGCAGCCAACCAGAGGAAGCATTGAAGGGTTTGGGCTCTGCAATTCCCATCTTACGTGACACTGCTGCGTACAGTTCACGTGCGTACTCTTGAACGGATCGCGTGTCCACCGCTATGTTGCGTTGCGCCTGACGAATCGAGTAACTCACCAACAAATTTTCCACCTTTAGCAGCACCTTGTTCTGGGAATACTTCATCATTGAAGCACCTGCAGACTTTGTGATTGTCATGTGCTCTTTGATCTTGGCTGCATCCTTCTTAATAGTACGAATCGTAGATTCGTTCACTCCACGCTGGCGCGCGAGATCAGCTTGATGTGTTCCTTTCTCCAAATCTTGAACGATCTGGTATTTCACTTCGTAGCTTAAGGAACGTCGTGTCTTCTTTGGCTTAGGGCGGCTGGGTCCAGGTAAGGAAAGGTTTCTCTCTGGTGGCGGTGGTGGTCCGGCGGAAGCAATTTCAAAGAACAATGGATGCACGTATACACGGTGTGGCCTTGAGGGATGAAACTGCCGCGGCTAGGTCAAGCGTAGTCTTTCCTCCCTCCCTCCCTCCCTCCCTCCCTGGGTGGACACGTCATATTACTTTAAACCAATTACAGCTAGCAGCAGAGGTGGGTAGGGATGCATTGCCAATCACAGTCCGATACGTCATATGACGTCAGTGGTAACGCAACAAAGACATGCACTGCGCAACCTTACTGCGCGGTTTGCCCAGGCGGAGGAGGGAAGAGGCGGGAGCAGGCGGGTGGGGCGAATCTAAAAATAGCGTCGAGCCGGACACACTACGCGTATATGGGTAGATGAACCGCGTTAAGTGAAAGTTCGGTTCTGGCGAGGCACCGCGTATATGAGAAATCGCGTTAAGTGAAACCGCGTAAAGCGGGGTACAACTGTACAGTACTAGTACTATATAAGGATAACTACCCCTGAGGAGTGAAGAGTCATGAGTGTAGTTTGAGCCATTCCTTCCCCCTGGAGACTCCACATAATTGAGAGTACTGTTCTACTGTATGCCATAATATCTTTGCCCCAAAGTCGCATACTGCAAACGTCACTCATAAATTCCCCTATTCTGCCCATTTAATTTATTGTTCATAGCGTTACCCAGTACGTATATAATAGAGAGTATACTGTACATATTTACCGTTATAAACTGGCCATTGTTTTTCCTTGCACACGGAGGTTTGTAACAGTCTTCCAATTAATGCATCCATTTTTTAGTAAATTCAACTGTAGCAAAG